TTATGTCATCATGGGCTTATAAGCCTTTTTGATTGAAATAAAATGTCTGTCTGTCTGTCATGTTCTAACGCACAAAAAAAGCGTGCTATACTATTGTAGTGTTGGCCACCTGCAGTAATATGGTTTTAATATGTTTTTACGTAGGCATACTAACATGAGATGGTATTCATCTTCGATTTGATTCATGGAACAATTTTGACATTTTCTATCTTCCCTAGGTGTATTATTATGCCTTCCTGTCTCTATCGCTAAATTATGTGCTGATAATCTAAACCTACTAAGTGATATTCCGTGTGCATTATTATTGATTACATTAAGGTATTTTTCTTGTTCAAAATTATGTTTAAATATACTAAATGTTGACAATCTAATTGAATTATTAATATTAGCATATCAAGATTGTTTATACCTGTCTATTATTCTTAATTTAATATATTGAAAATTTATTTCACTTATATCCTGATATCATGATATACCCATATATTTGACATACCTATGTTATCTAATATACATTTAACATGATTCGCCCATTTTTTACCATTTTATGTTACCCCATCATCTGTATCTTTTTTAAGTAAATTATATGTCTTTTTTAAAATGGTATCATCATTAAGTTTCAAGGTTTTCATCCAATATCCAAATGCAGAGGAGTTTATTCTTTTGGGCATAATTAGATTAGTTATTTGTATAGAAAACTGTTATTCCTCTTCGAGGTGCGAAAATTAAAGAGCATCGCCCTTTCAGGTAACAATTTTGTAACAGGAAGACGTATTGAATACATGATAACTCTCCTACCACACACTGTATATGAAAACTTTGTTGTTGCAAATAAATAATATTTTCTAAGTGTTCAAGTGTTGCACTAAAACGTTTTGATGAAAATGTTTCGTTTGTATATCTTTGGAATCGCTGAAAAATGCCATTAAGGTTACAATTTCATGAATTAATTTTATTTTGGATCTCTTTATCATGTAAATGGTAAATTTTGACACAATCCGCATTATTTCACAAATGTTGTGAACGATTGTCAGATAAAAAAAGTATTGCTAACACCAAGAGAGTAAATTGTATCGGAAATATGAGCTATCTTTAGAAATACTTTATAAATATGCCCGGTGTAGTTAATTATAAATGTATATTTTATTTGGTTTGGTCAACAGGCCACACAAGTAATGCTAGTAAAATTTCTAACTCTATTTTAGTCTGAATATGATTTTAAAAATGTATTTACTTCCAGGTAAATATTCGTCATCGAATGCAGTGAGATTGTCATCAATGCAGTGAGATAAAAAGATAAATAAGAGAAATGATGCAATTAAATGCAAGTCGATAAAACATGTGACGACCAAATGTGTAGGAATACTGTTTTACGTAACAAATGAGCATTTTTGCCTAACAGAAAGGAGAAGCTTTTGTTGGCTGTCTTAATGTGCCATTTACGTTTCTGCAATTTGGTAGTAAATATCTGACCGTATTATGACACAGTGAACTAATATTATCATCGTCGTTTTTAATTACCTTCATCAACGTTAATAATATATCATCATCATCATTATCATCACCATCATCATCATCATCATCATCATCATCATCATCATCATCAACAACAACAACAACAACAACAACAAAAACAACATCATCATTATCAATCATCATCGTTAATTAGCAATATATTTGTTTAAGTCCACACCGGCTTGCTGAACATTTTACCAGTAAGATGACTATTATGTTAATACCCAGTTACTGTCGAAAATATTTCCCTAATATTTTGGATATTAATATTTATTGACTTGTAGAAATAATATCGGCTTTTTATGCAAAAACTCTTAAACTTATAATATTCAAATCAATAATTATGAATATCCAAAATAGTTAGCATATAATTTCGGACCTAGCCAATTACTGACCACCTGTAAATACACACAAAGTAGTGACAAATTCCAATGTCGTCATTAAATTTTGTTCATCATGTTTTTTCTTTTAAGTTTATAAAACATAATTTACGCTTTTTGTTAGTTAATCTTACGCGCACAAAACGAGATTTTGATATGTACTTTACAAATGACATTATAACATTAGCTAAACTTAATTATTTTCCGCCATGACTTAGATATAAGCAAAATCAAAACGTTTTTAATCACGAAAAAGCTATTTTAGAACATTTTCATAAATCATTTTCTTCACTCTGCAAACCAGATGTATACAGTAAAACGTCCAATTAAGACCACCATTGGGACTGGATCAAAATGGTGTTAATTGCGGGTGGTCTTAATTGTGGATAATCTTGTCATTGCTAACATACTTTATGACCATGGTCTATTTTAGTCTTTTTGTATAAGCAATACAACAATATGAATATTAACCTACAAATACAATATATGTTATATTATTTAATCAGATGAGAGCAAAACATTTTTATGAAGAAATGGAATATTAATATTTAATATTAATTCTCTTTGGTCTGATTTCCAATTTAATCATTTTATAATGTACATCACCTATCAAATAAGAAATTAATTCTTCGTAAAATAAATGTGCTGAAAGCAACATTGAACCACAGTAACTCTAAAATTTACATTTTAACACCTTATTTCATACATTAACCTTATAATAACAGTTTTTGACACCTTGTAAAGTGTCATGCCTAAGAGCATTCAAGCAGATAATAGCAACAAATCTGTAATTTTGGTTGGTGTTGACTTTAAAATAAATGGTCTCAATCGTGACTTCAAATAAAGAATAAATAAAAAATGGGACTGAATCTGGCGGTCTTAAAAGTGGATAACCGGGGTTGTCTTAATTCTGGAGCATGTTATTATTGAAAATGTTCTTAATAGCGGGGTGGTCTTAAATCTGAGTTTGTCTTAAGGAGGGATTCTACTGTAATGTTACAGTGGTGCGCATGAGAGGAGATGGTGTGATTGGCGTTCTGTTCAATCCACATTTATAACTTGCTCCTTAAACGTTATGTTATGCCTAAAACCATCATGGTCATTTTCGAAATGACGACTGAATGCGTTTGTTTCGGACAAACTGTTTAACATATTTTTACATTCATTCTAACGTTTGCTTTTTGCATGGTTGCATCATATGTGCCATTAAAGTAGCAATATGTGATTGACCCTGAAGAATCACAAAGTATGGATGATATAATGATAAGGGGGAGTGGTGGCCTAATGGCTAAAATGTTTGTCTCTCAACCCCAGGACTATGTTTCCTCATTAGAGATCAGTATTGTTTGTTTCAGGGAGGAGACTCTGAAGTGATTAATTTAGGTTGAAAGAATTTGTTCCGTAATCGAACATAAATAAATATATGTTTAAGCTAATAGCATGTAGATTTATTAAGAGTTCTGGAATCATTTTGTTCAAGTAGCAAGAAATATACAAAACATATTCTTGTTTACTTGAATATTGCAGTACAATACTCACGAAAAGTGTTTTGCGCATATTTGGTGAAATATTTGTTTATAAAAGACGTTAATATAGTACGATGTTTCAATAGCAACCGATGTTGCATTTTGCGCATGCGCATTTTATGTAGGGCAAAAGCGCAATGAAGATAGAATACACTTAGCGTAGTTGAAGGCTTTCAAAGACGTGATTATAAGTTATGACACACAGAAGACAGAAATTTATGGATGAATTAAAGCAGTTAGTAAAAGATAGATTTTATTACCCATGTATTACATAATATAACACAATTGGTATTTCTTTGGCAAGGCGGTAAGTGTCAAAAGATTGACACGTGACCGGTTGTTATTTGCCAGATAGTATACAATATCATTCAACCGGACGTTATAGTACCATGACGGTATCCGGACAATTCCCCTCCCGGACGATTCCCCTCCCAGTAAATTTGAATGTTTTTTCACAACCCGGACATTTCCCCTCCCGTTATTTTTTTACGGCGGACAATTCCCCTCCCGTTAATTTTACAGGGTAACAATTCCCCTCACGTTTAGCAGAGCGGACAATTCCCCTCCCACTGTTGTCAGAGCGGACAATTTCCCTCCCGTGGCTGTTGAACATATATATGTTATAATATTGTTTATTTTAAAGGCAAGACATGTCAATTTTTTGTAGCTTAATGTGAAGCTGCAGTACATGAAAAACGGGCACATGACAAATCAGCACATAAATAAAACATTATAGTGTTCCGTGGTATACATCTTTTCTACGTGTCATACTTCCTTTCCTTATTACAATGAAATTTAATTTGATTGTTATCCATGGCTGATTTGTTTTTAGCAGAGAATGACCTGTGCATGTTCAGAGAGGGTACCTTTTGAGCAGATTTCGCAAAGAGGGTACCGATATGGATATGCACCGTGATTTCTGCAGCGGTAAAATAATTGAATTTAATTGATTTTGCAATCAAGGACACATTTAATTAAGGGCATCATTGATTAAAGATTTTTTATTGACAGTTTGATCTTTAACAGTTTGTTGTTAAGAGTAAAAACTGTCATCTTTAATAAGAATGGTTATAGATATTTTTTCTGCTAAAATAACGGGAGGGGAATTGTCCGTCCTGTTAAATTAACGGGAGGGGAAAAGTCTGGGTTGTGAAAATAATATGGAAGGGGAATCATCCGGGAGGGGGATTGTCCGGGATTCTACCATGACATAGTTAATCACTTAAAATTATGAAAATCGTCATTAAAGTTACTTTTATTTATACCAGTCTCATCAATGTTTATTAATTATGTGAAGTGACAAAAGGTGTACGTTACGTGCATCTTCATGAGCTACGAGGGAACCGAATATGTCACACATATGCAATATTCGTTCAGTGACATAAACGGCCCGACAAAGCTTTACAAAATTCAATGCAACCCTTATTTTATTTAACCTGGAATTGTTGTTGCTTACTTTAGTTTCCAATAGTTCCATCGAATGACAATTTTCGTTGCAATCTACATTAAAGAAACTACAAAGTGGTAATATTTAATATCATGCATTGACATGATCTGACTTAAACTTTGTAAAAAAAGGGAAAACATCGGATTAGGCGCTTGCAGAAATCATGATCTCAAAATAGACAAAATTTAATATCGTTTTTCGCCGATTATTACATATCTTTATTCATTATCAACCATAAATCGGTGTGAAAAGATGAATTAGTCCTTTTAAAATTTATTCCGTTGGGTAAAAAGCAAGATTTTAGCATTTTATCATTCAAGCTCTTTGTCCGATATACCAAAATACGTATAATAAAGAGTGGGGCTCCATTCCTTTTAGGGTTTCATTCATATTTGTATTTCTTTGGTGATAAAAATATCAATAAATCAATGATATATTTTTACCTAGTAATACATTAACTCTAATTATGGTATCGGACTTTCGGAAATGTAAAGGAGTAAAAGATTTGTTACAAAATGGTACAGTCTTTAAAATTTAACTTTATTAATGAAATAGACTTACTCTAAGATATTGATGCACAAGACATGTATGGTGATATTTAATCTAAGGTATTCAATAATTCAAGTTATAAATGACGATGTTCTTCTTGCAAATTTTACAGGATTATCTATTGTAAACATCGGTGCTAGAAAAGCACCCCGACCGTGCAATACCAGTCGCGTGCTCTTAAGTGCATTAAATTACGTCATTCCCACGCGCATGTTATGAATGAATTGCGTTCTTTAGGTTCTTTGGATGACGCCAATTTCTTTAATTTCATATTTTGAATTGTACATAAATAAATGTTCCGATTAACATTTTGAGTTCCATACAGTTTCTATTTCCTTAGCCGTTACTCTGTGTGATGTAAACATTGTTTTACCATTATAAATACATGCATCTAATCTAACCATGTTTCGATTAAAGCCTTTTATATTTTTTATAAATCCTCCGATTTTTCTTAAACATAGTCCAACATATACGTCCTCAAAATAAAAAAATGGAATTTTAGACGAAATAGCAAATATTTTGTTCACTATATTGAAACTTGTTAAGTAGCCAGTCCCCGAACAATAGCCAGGATATCGCCTTTCTTTGTACGATTCTATTGACGCATACCATTTTGAATTTTTATTTCTGATTGGACTTGGAATTGTTTCACAAGAACCGACCACATGATTTTCTAACTCTGCACCAGATGTGTTTACGTAATGTACGAAATTTGGTACATTTATATACATGTCATCGTCTGTTTTAAGAATATATTTAGCTGTAGGGCAAAACGTCACTACCCATTTAAATCCCATTATGGTCTTATATGTTAAATTCATATAAGTATCAATAAAATCTTCTTTTATTATATCATGGTACACGTTATTTTCCTGTACAACCGTTTCGTGAAACACATCATTTGTCGGCTTGCCGAGCAAAAAGGCATAACGTATGTTACCAGTATTGTTTTTGGAGTATGAGAGCCATGTTCTACGAATGACGTCACGTTGTTCAAAGTGCTCATGTTCTGTGAAAATCATGATAAATAAATCTATTTTATCGTTGTTGTCGTTACAAATTTTCACATTATTTATCAAATATTTAAAATCATGAGTAAAACATTTATCACATACTGTTTCTCTTATTTCATCCGTTTTATTCGTGTTTTGATTTTGTGCCTTATACGATAGTCTGTCATTCACTCTCGTGTTATATTTTTTGAGCTTTTTTAATTTCTTTCCCAAATGTTCACTCCCGTTAACTTTTATATGTATTCCTATTTCTGAATCAGTGAAATTGTTGTATTGTCTAGATAACTTAAAGTGTTTTGGTAAAGAATACCTTATACTAATGAAAGACGTCACTAAGGTCACTACAGTTAATATATTAAGAAAATAATGTTTTAATTCAATAGACATATTCGCAAGTTAATTTTAAAATATCGAACAGACGCTCACTTTTTTATTCAAGAAAAATTAAATTTCAGCATCCTCTAGTATTTTCTGTGATAAATCTGCGTTAAAAGGCCTATTCCAGCCTTTTTATTGAATCAAAATACACACCGATAGAAGAATATAAAAAAAGTCTGTAAATAAAATATATCACTTCACAAGTCTCACTGCTAAAAACCTTATAATACAACTGTTAACACATCTGTGTATATAAGTATGTGTGATTCAAAAATGAGTAAAAATCATGATATGCACAGTGTGTGCAATGCAAAGAAAGTTATTGATTACACAACCGCTATCTGGTTTGTAAACAAACTGTCAATTCAATCATTTAAACTAATGTGTACTCTTTCAAATGATAAGACGCTCACGATGCAATTGAAACACTTCTGTACAGTTTGACGAGAGGACGACATTTTCCCCTTATTTTGGTTAAAACACGCACACCCGTACAAATGTGTGCAAAACGATCCAATATTGCAACGGCATCATATCGTATGAATGATACTTGCACAAACCAACAATATTTTGAAACCTTTGATAATTGTTTTTGCCTATTTATAAAATATATGCCAACAAAAATTAAATAATTACAACGCAGACAGCGATTGATTCGATTGCAACGCAGTGCGATGGGTCCGATAGCATTCAAGTATATTTTTAGGGTTTAACTTGACGTAACGCACTATTCAATTAAGTACAACCATTTACTTACTTTGACATCTGAGAAACGTCTTAATTTGATGTTTAAAACAATATTATTATATGTACGCTCGTACAAATAGATGTCCGAGTTCCGCGTCCATTTACCTTCCATTGAAAATTCCTTTGGCAGTAATTATCATAGAATAATCCACGTTAAGCTTTGGGCTTAAAAAGACGTTAAACAATGTTTTTGTCATATAAAACATATAAAGAGACGTTTTTATGCCGGGAAACACCTCAATACATTTATGTCCAATTCTGTTGATAAAATTTAAACCAAGGTTTTCAACATTTTACATCTGTACGTAATTGTGTCTTTGCTTTAATAATGGTTATGTTATTCATTTATGTTTTTCAAGAACAATCAGTCTTGACATGTGATATTTGTTGTGTACGTAAATATATACCTTTCGTTTTTAAGTTCTGATTAAAAATGGAAGAATAAAAATAAAGACACGTATACAAAAATATTGAAATTGATTACAAAATGTATTTTCATCACAGAACTGGACAAAATAATCTATATATCATTCATTGAGTAGAATCACAACTTCACAATCCGACTAGTCACGTTGATTTCTGCTAAACTAGAGCAAGATTGCCTAGGTGGCAGCTGCGAAATGTCCTTCTTGATATATTTATAATTTTTTAACCTTGATATATGGCATATTCCACTAACCTATAACTTTATATTTACTTAAATGTCTGACTCAAATCTTCGAATGTTCATTTATTATCTTTACACTTTTAGTTGGTTACTGCATTGACTGCGCTTTCCTTAAACTCTGTGAATGATCTTTGCTCATTCCTTTTTGCGATATAGCATTTTCCAAATTTACTTTCCCCGCAGATACAGGGTTTTAGTGGTTAACGGAACCTTAAAAACATACAGCATTCTTATTCACAGCGTTGGTATTGGTATTCATGTGCTATCTAGTGATAGAGATGATTGATATTTCTAATTTTCTATAATATACAACCTCTGTCAGGCCGAGTCTATGACTTTTACAAGTCCATTTCTGTTTCTACTTAAGAGCATCAAGAAACAAAAGATCCAATAAGATCCTTATTTGAATTTTCTATAACAACTTTTAAAAAAGATCTATTCGTCTTTGCCATTACATTTAACTTCGTCTCGTGGACAAGACAATTTTCTCTTGATTCAAACAGATGTTAGGTAAGTAACAAATTCATTCATACACATTTCTATTTCTTGATTTTCGATCTGCTATATTTATGATATAAACAGTTTGTATTGGATTTTCTTAAATGCGACCACGTGACTGACACCAGATGCGAACACGTGACTGACAACTGAAGGACATCGATCATCCTTATCGACTACGGCGAATTCAAAATTTTGAACTCTTTCATCGGTTTTCAAAGTTTTGTTTTCATCATTACTTTCAGTAGTGCCGTGCACATGAATCCCCCTTTTTCAACACATCTTAAAATGTGTCTACTTTTTTCTCTAATGCTTCTTATGACGGTAATTTTAGATTCTTATTTTAAATGTTTGCATCAATTTTCTTCTTTTTTCAGGCAAAAAAAAAATCCCAAAATAATTCAAGAAAATGTACTCTGAAGGCTAAAATATCTCATAATTAATTAATAAATTAATAAACAACAAAAGGTCCTCTCATTTTTGCGAAGATAGGCAAAGAAAGACAGACAGTCAGATAGACAAAGAGAGAGACAGGCAGACAAACAAGCTATGTAACATGCACTAACAGACAGATGGGCAGGTATTTATTTCTTGCAAAACTATTATTCAACGTCTTGATTTGTGTGCAAAAAGATACTCCACTCACACTTTTATCCGACATTAAGTTCAACATTATATGTTGTTTTCACTTAGACACTAAGTAAGTACTAGTACATAATATATCTGTCAATGAAAGCCAACAAAATGCAACATACATGTTTTGTTTTCCTCTCGGACTTTCTTCAGTTTATGAAATAAGCTACGTCGTGTTTGCACAATGAAAAGAAGGGTGTTTTTTTTCGAGCAACTTTCTTTCACTTCGTATGAACTCCCGACGCCTCCAGATGAGCCAAAATATTTCAAGAAATTCAATCTTTAGGCAAATGTATTAATATCTTAAGAAAAGTAAAAAGATTCAATATCTAATTAATTATTTACATGTTATGTGCGATTAATGACTGATTTTGCAGTATCATTCACTGTAATTGTACTAAGTTACTAACGTAGTAAGAGGTGTTTTTGTATATTTTGGCCTCTTTTTGGCAATTTATGTGGATTGTTAGTGCCGTTTGCAATGTGAAAATTATTTTATTTGTTCACTCCACAATATTTTACTTTGAAATACATTTTCGAAATTTTCATGAAAATTAGCATGAATCTGGAGGCATGCTGCTTTAAAGTATGTTGATTTTCAGACAATTTTGCGATCACAATATCTTGCGTAATGCCCTTGAGCCCCCAGTCTGAGATGCAGCGACTTGACATATTCCTTCGTAAGGTGTAACTTTTCTTTCAGGTGATTACGAAGTATACATTTTTTGTTTGTCTCATCTTTAATGTCTACTTTTTTATCTATTGCTTCTTATGACTGTTATTTTACATTTTTTTTCTCAAGCTTTGCACCAATTTTCTTCAAATAATATGTCAGCATTAGAGGCGTTTAAGCTTATTCCAGCTTCCATTTCTCTAGCTTGAAAGTTTTTGTCTACAGAAGAAATATCTGAAGTTGCTAGAGACTCATTATTACCATTCATTATTACAAAGTGATTGGTCTCTTTCATTCTGCGGCAGTTAGTGATTATCTTCAAATACATGTGGTGGACAAGATAATGTGTCATTAAATAATATAGTTTGCAATATTTTAAACTTCAATTACTGAAATATTATTATCATTTGATGCCTCTGACGGGCCTCCGTATACTTTCAAACCTTTCCTTTTTTCCCAATTCACATTTTTAGATTTAGTCATTGTATCACTATTTACAAAACTACTACTTTCATTTCACATATTTTCTCATGAAAGTATATTTAATTACATTTTTTAAAAATAACGCCCGACAGCTGACAAAAATACGTCCATTAAAAGCATGTACACGTACTGTTCACCGTATGTATGAACACCTTCACGTTCCTATTTTTTTGCAGAAAATCTAACAAATGACTGCACAGAGACCTATCTACGAGGCATATGTATTCGTTAATAAGTGTTTCAATGTATACTTTTCGTTTGCATATCTTTGGAATCGCTGATAATGACAGTTATGTCCTATGACATCATGTCCTTTTATATATTTTTTACGAAAAGAGTAATTTATTTTTTCTAGCATAATAAGTAATTTGTAAAATGGCAGGTAAAATTGTTATTCACCTTAGAGGTGCGGAAATTTAAGAGCATTGGTTTGGCCATCAGATCACATAAGAATTTCTTGTAAAATTTCTAAGTGTAGTTTAGTCTGAATATGTTTCGAAAAATGTATTTAGTTCAAGGCAAATATTTGTCATCGGATGCAGTGAGATAAAAAGATAAATAGTTAAAATGATGAACTAATGCGAGCCGATAAAACATGTTACCACCATATGTTTAGGAATGTTGTATTACAATGAGCATTCCTGCTTTACAGAGAGGAGCTTTACACAATTCAACAATTCAATGTAGACTTTATTTTATTTTACATTGTAATGCCTTGACATATTCTGACCAAAATTTTGTTCCAAAGGGGTAGCATCGGATAAGGAATTCAGGTATCGTTGACTCAGTCCTCCGGTGAAGCTAATTTTTTCCTCGACATTTGATCTCGACCATTGATTCTAATAGGTGTTTGTTTTGTTATTCAATTTGGATTAGTCGGTCACTTGCGTGGAAAATAGTATATACTGGTTAGTTATCCAGGAAATCCGGGAAGGTAGACCGAGCACCGAGGTATGACAAAAATTGTGCTTAAAGCAGCGTTACAACCAACTTCATTGCACTATTTCTAATTTTAAAGTTATATCAATCTCTAGTATAAATTTATTTTGTTGTTTTTATTAATTTTAGATAAATTATTGCATGGTTCGGAACTTTTTCTTTATTTATACTCATTACACTTTCAATGAGAATTTCAAAATATGTATTGAGAAAAATCTATAAATACATGTAATATAACCAACTATAATAAATGAAATGATTTTTTTTCTAATACACAAATCTGCTGAAATCAAAAGGTACATCCGTTGAATGCATTATTTCCTTTGAAAAAAAAAACACTTAAATCTTGAATTAACGTTCTCCAGAAGATGTCAACTTTCAATCAGTCTCAAACAATGGACGTCTTAAAATTTTCAAGGCTTGTAAATCTTGTTTTGTTCTCTCTTTTTTTTCTTGTTTTTGTTTTGTTTTGTTTGTTTGTTGTTTTATATTGGCGGCAGCGAAATCAACTTCAAACAACTGCCTTATTATAAATGGATGTAATGTAGCTTATGACAACAGTAGCTGGTATTATTTCATTATAAATGGGGGTTCCATTTGCAACAAAAGTGAAAGCACACGAGAGGGAAGGGCACATGTATTTTTATATTCTTTGATGATTTCTATTACAAAATAAATATGAATGGTGATTAAACAGTTATAATAATATGATACTCGTTTATTACGGGGTTATAACACTGGCTTGGCGACATCTCGAGATGTTTTTGCAAAATATTGTCTCGGGCTTGTGACCTAGCCAATTTTTGGCAGAAACATCCCTCGATGTCACCCAAGTTAGCGAACAAACTCTTTTCATACTATAATTGTAACATATGCAGCAAAATATCAATATATATAATCGCTTTCAACAGATGTTTTTAAGTAAAGATATCCATTACTTATTGATTTTCTTTACCTTGTTATACATTACCTCAAATTATGGTATCGAGTTTTTTGAAATGTAAAGGAGGAACATCCTTTAAAGTTAAACTTGATTAATGAAATAGCCTTACTCTTTGATATTGATCAGAACACAATACATGTACGAGAACATTTAATATTATTCTAAGGTTTTCCTCAAGTTATTGATGACAATGATTTTCTTGTATAGTTGAAAGGAACAATTACTGTAAACAACGGTGCTAGAAAAGAAAAAAAAATGTCTTACCCCCCACCGTGTAAGACAAGTCACTTTTTCTAAAGTACTCTAAATGAGGTCGTTCTTGTGCATTTTATGAATAAATTGTGTTTTTAGGATGACGTCATTTTCTTTTATTTAATATTTTGAATTGTACAGTTCCATACAGTTTCTATTTGCTTAGCCGTTAAGTGGTGTGATGTAAACATTGTTTTACCATTATAAACACATTTATCTAATTTAACCCTGCCTTTATTAAAGCCTTTTATATTTTTTATAAATCCTCCGATTTTTCTTAAACAAAGTCCAACATATACGTCCTCAAAGTAAAAAAATGGAATTTTAGACGAAATAGCAAATATTTTGTTCACTATATTGAAACTTGTTAAGTAGCCAGTCCCCGAACAATAGCCAGGATATCGCCTTTCTTTGTACGATTCTATTGACACATACCATTTTGAACTTCTATTTCTCATTGGACTTGGTAAAGTTATGCAAAGACCGACCACATGATTTTCTAACTCTGCACCAGATGTATTTATGTAATGTACAAAATTTGGTACATTTATATACATGTCATCGTCTGTTTTGAGAACATATTTAGCTGAAGAACAAAACGTCACAACCCATTTAAATCCCATTATGGTCTTATAAGTCAAATTCATATAAGTATCAACAAAATCTTCTTTTATTATATCATGGTACACGTTATTTTCCTGTATAACTTGTTCGTGAAGATCATCACTTGTCGGCTTGCCGAGCAAAAAGGCATAACGTATGTTACCAGTATTGTTTCTGGAGTAGGACAGCCATGTTCTACGAATGACGTCACGTTGTTCAAAGTTCTTGTGTTCTGTGAAAATTAAGATAAATAAATCTATTTTATCGGTGTTGTTGTTACTTAACTTACATATTTTCTCATTATTTATCAAATATTTAAAATCATGAGTAAAACATTTATCACATACTGTTTCTCTTATTTTATCCGTTTTTTTCGTGTTTTGATTTTTTGTCGAATTATTCCGTGTCTTATACGTTAATCTGTCATTCACTATCGTGTTATATTTTTTTAACTGTTTTAATTTTTTCCTCAATTGTTCACTCCCGTTTACTTTTTTCTGTATTCCTAAAGCTGAGTCAATAGAATTGTTGTGTTTTCTAGATAGCTTTAAGAATGTTGATAAAGAATACCCTAACCTTGTCATACCAATGAAAGACGTCACTAAGGTCCCTATAATTAATATAATGACAAAATGATGTTTTGATCCAATAGGCATATTCACAAGTTAATTTCACAATATCGCACATACGCTCACTTTTTTTAATCCGTGGGAAATTAAATTTCAGCATCATCGAGTATTTTCCTATGTATCTTCAATATAAAATAAATATTGAAGTGCATATTACCTCTCAGTTTACACAACACCATAAACAATTGATTTGCAACCAAGTGAACTTTTGGTAAAAATTCCTTATCAACAATTGTTAAACCATCTGTGTATAGAAGTATGTGTGTTTCAAATAGACATTCACAGTGTTTGCAATGTAAAGAAAGTTATTGATTACAAAACCGCTAACTGGTTTGTAAAATGTCTATCTATTCATCGTCTAAAATAATATAACATAGCAAATTTTAAGTTTGCCGTAATGTCGGAAAATTATTTATTTATACCCATTATCTGAGTTTCTACATAATGCGGTTTTAATAAAGGTTCGTTCTTCTTGGCAGGACCAAAAGAGATTTGAGCTTTGCTATGGTACGAACCATTGGTAAATGGTTTAAAAATGCATATAATCCTACTTTTGAAGTCAAATGTTGTAGCTAATGCATCTACAATAATAGAATACCACCAAACCAAGTAAGAAAACACACGGCTTCATGTTTGTAAGGAAAACACATTGAAAATTTGGCAAATTAGGCAATGACTTCCCGGGAGTGAATTTAAAGTAAAACTCAACGTCAGTTCTATATCTATAATATTATCGTTTCTGTTTAATTCTAATGATCTGATAAATGACTAACAATAAGAATATCCCCACAAGATATGTGTAAAAGAAAGAGCGCATTGCAAAGATTACGAGAAAATCCATTGTTATTTAAGTAAGGATCTATCAATTGTGAGGACTTAAAATCAATACCATTGACGAATGATGCGGACTTATGGAATTTTCCTTACAAACCAGGGATGGAGCTATACTAAGGCTTTGTTCGTGTATCATTATCTGACAGTACTCCCCATTTAGCTAAGTTTCTTTTCCGTTGATAGTCTGTGCATGGAATAATTTGAAGTGGCACCCGAGGTCTTCCTTTCAAAAATAAGTATAAAATCGCCGTTTAACCACAACAGTGCCGTGTTAACAATTGATTTTACAAAACAAATTTATGTTATTGTATCTTCTACATATAACTGAAAAGTGGGGATTTATGTATAAAAACATGTCTTATATTATACGATTCAAGTGTTGCTCCCTCTGCACTGCAAGTTGTACCCCGTCGTGGCTTGCTCCCCGAACTTAGCGGAGTAACAATCACTGAAAATGGTTCTGCTGCTAAACTAGTACCTCATACATTTCTCGGTTGATTGATGGTTATTTCCTTGACATAAGCCGGCCTCCTAGGTCTTAAGATATGTGTATGTTACCTCGTTGACTGCCTTCGACAACCGCGAGTACGTCACATTGTTAGGACGAGTGCTAAGCTTCTTACTTGGCTAGTTGAGGTAGGTCTGAAAATAAAACAGACAAATGAGAATTCCTAAAGAAAGCCAAAAACACGGCAAAATTGAAAATGCTGCAGGCTTGGTTTAATTGAGCCTATTCATGGATGGTACTGTCAAGTGCAAACTACCGTCCACACCCACTTGCACTGGCTAAAGCAGAATTCAAATTGTGTAAAACTTTACACTTGACATACATTATTCAATCAAGGGAATGCGTAGCATAGCCCGAAAAAACTAATTAATTATATGAATTAATGTGTCCGATGTCCTTATATGAAATCTGACGGAAAAGGTCAAAACGTTTTGATTGGAGCTCTGACAGTTCATAAAATGTTTATTTGCTGGCGCTAGGGGGCGTGGGAGGTAGTTTGCATTTGACCGAACCGTCCATGAACATTCTCTATCAAACCAAGCCTGCAGCATTTCAATATTGTCGTTTTGGGCTTTCTTTATTGATTCTTATGTTTAATATATTAAACTTATTAATGCACAGTAACACCTCAATACAATTCCGTCCAATTCATTTGTTAGAAATCAATCCAAAGTTCAACGTTTTTTTAATCCTATACCGTCATTGTAAATTTTCCCGACATATGTCTTTGATTTAATAATGGTAATGTCATTCGTTTATATTTTGTAAGGACAAGAAAACTGCGAAATGTCATTCTTAATATATTTAAATTAGTTTAATCAAAATGGCATGATCACTAGCCTGTGACTTTATATTTACTTTAATGTCTGAATCAAAATATCAGTCAAATCGAGTGTTCATTTATCATAATTTCACTTTGGCTTGTTAATGCATTGACGTTACTCTGTGGATGATCTTTGCTCATTCTTTTGGGGAAATTGCATCTCGCAGCTGCAGGGGTTATCGAAAAATAAGAAAAAAATTCCATTTTCTTATTCACAGCGTTGGTATTTGTTATGCATGTGCTTGCTTGCGTAAGAGATGATGCTCTTTCTAATTTCCATCATATACACACTCTGTCGAACCGAGTCTATGACTTTTACCAGGTGCTTAAGAACATCAAGAAACAAAACCTGCTCCTTATCTGAATTTTCTATAATGACTTTTAGTATATAACTTTTCATCAATGCTGTTACATTAACCTTAGTCTCGCGGACAAGACAAATTTCTATCGATTCAAACAGATGTTACGTATGTAGAAATGTTCATTTATACACGTGTTTCTAAAATTGTTGTTATTTTATTAATTGATTTTCTACAATACTATATTTATGATCAAAACAGTTTGTATTGGATTTTCTTAAATGCAAAGAAGGAAATGAAATATTTTAACCTTTTTCTAATGTAAAATGTCCATTTATTTGTGTAAATAATAACTTCATGGCCATTTTAAAGCACCGTTTTAATGGATTAAAAAACACTGCACGGATAAAAGTATGTAAGGAAGAGAACCACTGTCTTTATTTCAAGATCTCATAAATGATCTTTTATCCACTGAAATTATTACATTTCAGAATGAAACTTGAATGCGTTTAAATGAAACCGTTAAAGCGTACACATGTCATTCGCCGTTCTGCAATAAATACGATATTGATATATGGTTATAAATCTAGATGAACATTGATCTTGATATCTTTTTCTTTTATACAGGTTGTTTGTTTGCATTGTTAAAGGACAGTATGTTATGTCGTTAAATAGCTTATATAGCTAGTGTTTTTATGCTTTTTGTAAACGATTATAAATAAAGATTATCTTATCTTGTAATTGTGTCATAATGGTTTCTTACAATAGGTACTTCGTTTTTAATATTATGTTTGAAATATATAAGATTTCCACTGCTGTTTCCTTTAGCCCTTTAATGATTAAATTTTCTATAGAATTAAAGAAAGTATAACCCATTAATTTCAATATTGGAATTTTCACTCGTCCAGCATTCAGTTAGAATACAAATATCATTTTCCGAAATGTTAGAAATAAAGGTCTTAATTTAAATTAAGCGTCATTTAAACCATTACAATTCGACACGAAAACTTCTAGGTCATGCCCGGTAATTCCTAGGATGACTTGACTGTATTTCATCGACTAACAACGTGTCGAAGGCAATCCATGCTGTTTTGTCCTCCTTTTTGGCTTTCTTCAGTTTATGAAATAAGCTTCGTCGACTTTGCACAACTTTTTTGGGGGAAACTGATCATGTAAAAATTGGGGTGTTTTTGAGTATGTAAATTTGCAAACAATTTTGCGATCACAAAACTATCTTGTGTAATGCCCATTCTAAGGGTACGCTTTATTTTGCAGCGACTTTACATATTCCTCTGCAAGGTTAAACTTTTCTTTCAGGTTATTATACATGTAAATTATACGTTCCGTTTTTTCGGGTTATTTGTCTTTTTTAATCTTCTTTAATTTCGCCAAAGATTAAATTGTATTTCATTCATTGTGATTTAGGATATACAACTTCATCTTTCAATTTAAAAGTTCAATTCGATCATCCGTATCGACTACGGCGAACTCAACATTTTGAACTTTCATCGAATTTCATTTTTTTTATCATTACTTTCGGTAATGTCGTGCACATGAAGCCAAATTGTTGTTCAACTCATTTTAAAATCTTTCTACTTTTTTCTCATGACTGTAATTTCACATTCTTGTTCTCAATTTTTGCAACAATTTTCGTGAAACAACGTGTCAGCATTAGAATGGTTTAAGCTAATTTCAGCTCCCATTTCTCTATTTTGAAAGTTTTTGTCTACAGAAGAAATATCTGAAGTTGTTATGAAGTGATTGGTCTCTGCCATTCAACGACATTAAGTAAATACCGGTAGTTATATAGATAATGTGTCATAAAATAATGACGGTAGGGAATCACGTTACTTTTATGGTAACGCGTACTGACAATATGGGTGCATAAATACCTCGCTTCACACGTTTCTGTCAGGTAATTATTTATTATATATCTTATACTTACAAACGGGAACGGATGCAGCCTACGCGGAATTAAAAATTGCTGCACCTTTTTTCAACCACTGTGCTTAAAGTGTTTACAAACATTAAAAAAGTCAACCGGAATTTTAAATGTCGACAAGTATTTTACGGGAAGCATTCATGCAAAATTTGTATTTTTTATGAAATTGATGAAAAATGCCGAGTAAGCAAGAAAAAAGGTCATAGAATATTTTTTTATTTGGAAATGTAAATGTTAGAAGTATAATGTTGTAGCAGCAGTATGTGCTAACTCATTTAAATTTGATTTAGAATGAAATATTTTGGTTTGTTTACTTACTGTATTATTCATTTTGTCAATAGCGTTCTACAGATACAGCGTTATTTACGGTAATTGCACATTCCTGCGTTACTGGATATGCCGGTGGAGAGGAGAAACATTATACAATTCAATTTAGACTCAATTTTATTTTACATGGGAATTGTTGTTGCTCACTTTAATTTCCAACAACCCTATCGAATGGAAATTTCCATTGCAAGCTATTTGACAAAAACTAAAAAGTGGTAAATTTAATATCATGACCTGTTCTGATTAAAACTTTATTCGAAATTCGAAAGGGGAAGCATCGGATATGTAATTCAGGGATCGTTGACTCGGTCCTCTGGCGAAGCTAATTTTTTTCCGCGACAATTGATCTCGCAATTTGATCCATTAGGCGTTTATTTCGTTTTCAAGTTGGATAAGTCTGTCACTTGCAGACAAAATATACTGGTTCATTATCCAGGAAATCAGGTTAGGTAGACGGAGCACCGAGGTATGACAAAACTTGTGCTCCAAGCAGCGGTACAACCAACTTCATTGCACTATTTCTAGTTCGAAAGGGGAAGCATCGGATAAGTAAGTCAGGTATTGTTGACTCGGTCTTCTGGCAAAGCTATTTTTCCGCGACAATTGAACTCGCACATTGATTCTTATAGCTTTACAGGTGATCTAGAAATCAATTTGGATAATAAGTCGGTCACTCCCGGAGAAAATAGTACATATTGGTTAGTTATCGAGTAAATTCGGTAAGGTAAACCGAACAGACGGGCGGAGGTACGGCAGAAATATTGTTAAAAGCTGCGTTAAAACAAACTTCATTACACTATTACTAATTGAATGTTATATCAATTGCTCGTTTACATTTTTGTTGTTTTTATGCAGTATAAATAGAATATGCAGCAAGATGTCAATATTGTTTTAGGATTAAGTCATTACATCCTTAAATCGAGGAGCAGTGGAACAGTATCGCTAGACGCTTGCAGAAATCATGTTGTCAAAATAGACAAATATCGTTTATTTTTGCAGATAATTACATTTTTCATTTATTATCATACGCAAATCGGTGTGAAAAGATGAATCTTTTAAATTTCATTCCGTTGGGCAAAAATGCAAAATTTTAGCGTTTTATCAGTCAAGCGCCCTTGTCCGGTATATACCGGAATGCCACATTTAGTGTGGTGCTCCAATCCATTTTTAGTCTCTCTCATAATTTTATTGATTTCAATAGACGTTTCTTGAAGTAAAAATATCCTTTAATTATATATTTTCTTTACCTAGTTATACATTACCTCAAATATTGGTATGTGGCTTTCTGAAATGTAAAGGAGGAACAGAAATGTAAAAGGTTCAGTCTATAAAATTTAACTTTACACAAGACATGTATGGTGACATGGAATCTAAGATGATCACATTATTGTCCCCTTTCCTCAAGTTATTGACGGCGATGTTTTTCTTGCATATTTGACTATTATGAATCTTCACTTACAGGACCAGGTACCCTAGAGCTTTTAAATTCTTTCTGTACCGATAGCCGGTGTTGAAATATTTTTCTTGCATATTACATGTCAGTTATTTTCGGAACAAAAATTAGGCAAAATTAATATTCTCATTACGCACTTTTTTCTTATAGTAACATATGAACTTACAACTTCATTCATAACGATACAACGACGTCACCCTTAGAACGCAATTCATTCATAAAAGCAATAAACGTCATTTAAAGCACGCGACTTGTCTTACATCGGGATGTAAGATTATAAGAATCTTACACCGGCTGCCGGTACAGACCGGGATATCTAGCTCGAGGGTAACTGTTTACAGCGGTAACGAGGCTCTGCCGAGTTTCCGCTTAACAGTTACCCGAGAGCTAGATATTCCCGTCTGTACCAAAAGCCGGTGTTTGATTCTTTTTCTTGCATATTACGTGTCAATTATTTTCGGAACAGAAATTATGCAAACTGTTATTCTCATTACGCACTTTTTTCTTATAGTAGCGTATGAACATACAACTTCATTCATAACGGAAAAATGACGTCATCCTAAGAACGCGATTCATTCATAAAAGGCGCGCGTCAATGACGTCATTTAATGCACGCGACTTGTCTTACATGGGGGTGTAAGACAGAGTTTTCTAGCACCGGTGTAAACGGTAGATAATCCTGTCTGAGATGCAAGAAAGAGTTTTCTATCACCGGTGTAAACGGTAGGTAATCATGTCTGATATGCAAGAAGGGTTATCTACTGTAAACATCGGTGCTAGAATAGGAAAACCTGTCTTACCCCCTACCCCAGCCGTGTAAGGCAAGTCACGTGCTCTTTAGTACACTAAATGACGTCCTTCTCACGCACATGTTATGAATGATTTGCTGTTTTAGATGACATCCTTTTCTTTCATTTCATATTTTGAATTTTACATTGATAAAAGTGCCGATTAACATTTCGAGTTCCATAATGTTTCTATTTCCTTAGCTGTTACTTGGTGTGATGTAAACATTGCTTTACCATTATAAATACAAGCATCTAATCTAACCCTGATACGATTAAAGCCTTCTACATCTTTTATAAATCCTCCGATTTTTCTTAAACATAGTCCCACATATACATCCTCAAAATAAAAAAAAGGAATTTTTGGGGAAATAGCAAATATTTTTTCCACTATATTGAAACTTGTTAAGTAGCCAGTCCCCGAGCAATAGCCAGGATATCGCCTTTCTTTGTACGATTCTATTGACGCATACCATTTTGAATTTTTATTTCTGATTGGACTTGGAATTGTTTCACAAGAACCGACCACATGATTTTCTAACTCTGCACCAGATTTGTTTATGTAATGTACAAAATTTGGTACATTTATATACATGTCATCGTCTGTTTTAAGAATATATTTAGCTGTAGGGCAAAACTTCACTACCCATTTAAATCCCATTATGGTCTTATATGTTAAATTCATATAAGTATCAATAAAATCTTCTTTTATTATATCATGGTACACGTTATTTTCCTGTACAACCGTTCCCTGAAACACATCATTTGTCGGCTTGCCGAGCAAAAAAGCAAAACGTACGTTACTAGTATTGTTCTTGGAGTATGACAGCCACGTTCTACGAATGACGTCACGTTGTTCAAAGTTGTTGTGTTCTGTGAAAATCATGATAAATAAATCTATTTTATCGTTCTTGTTGTTACTTAACTTACATATTTTCACATTATTTATCAAATATTTAAAATCATGAGTAAAACATTTATCACATACTGTTTCTCTTATTTCATCCGTTTTTTTCGTGTATTGATTTTGTGTAGAATGATTTTTTGTCTTATACGTTAGTCTCCCATTCACTCCCGTGTTATATTTTTTGAGATGCTTTATTGTTTTCCGCAATTGTTCACTCCTGTTTACTTTTATATGTAATCCTATGGCTGAATTAGTGGAAGTGTTGTATTTTCTAGATAACTTATAGTGTTTTGGTAAAGAATACCTTAACATTGATATATCAATCAAAAACGACACTAAAGTAACTATAGTTAATATATTGAGAAAATGATGTTTTGATCCAATAGGCATATTCGCAAGTTAATTTCACAATATCGAACAGACGCTCACTCACTTTTTTATCCGCGCGAAATCATAGAGTATTTTCTATCTGGATAAAGTGATGAACCAGGCTTATTATTGAATCAAAATACAAACCAATCGAAGAAGAAAAAAACACACAAAGGAAAATCTCAAAATAAAATATATTACTATACAAATCGTCAGTGCTCACAAAATCTTCAATATAAAATAAATATTTCAGTGCACAACTCTTCAATGCAAACAACACATTAGTGATTAATTTCCAAACATCTGAACTTTCGGTAAATCTCTAATCTTACAACTGTTGAAACATCTGTGTATATAAGTATATGTGATTCAAAACGGCGTAAAATCATAACATGCACAGTGTGTGCAATGATAAGAAAGTTATGTTATTGATCACACAACCGCTTACCTGTTTGTAAACTGTCTCTTTAATCATGCAAAGTAATATTGTATCATGGTTTGGTGACTTTGAAAATGTGTCAGAGTTAAATCGTATAAATCTATATGTACATTGCTTGGAGTGCACGTATTAGATACCCGCAATCCAGAGAATGCCATTGATTGGCTCAGTTTTGTTGGGGTTTACTTATTGTCACGGCAGAGAAAGGTAGTGATAGAAATATCATATTCAGATGCGCGTTCATTGTTTCCTTTTTGTCTAGTATTGAGACAATGGGGAACAGGTTTGACTATGACACAAAAGAGAAAAAAATCAAAACACTTAAAAACACCAAATCAATCTGATTAATACTCGGGACGCCCCTCGTACAAATCAGATAGCTTCGTGTTTCGATGCTCTTTCTATTACTTAAATAGCAAATTTTAAGATTGCCGTAATGTCGGATGATTGTTTATTAATACTCGTAATCTGAGTTCCTATAATAATCACACTGGCCATAGCTTTCGCATAACCTGTGGGTCCATTGCAGAAGCGGTGGATAAAATGACCTTTTACTGTTGTCGGTTAGTTAATGACTGAAGTTTGTTTTATGTTTCAATGTTTGACTGAAAACACTTAGTGAGACGGGAGCAAACATATATTCTCTTTCGACATATTACACGCTCATGGAACATCTCATTGACGTTTATGCAAGCACTTCTGAACAGTTTGACGAGAGGACTTATTTCGATTAAACCACGTACACCCGTACAAAGGTGTACAAAAACGATCCCATATTTCAACGGCGTCACATGGTATGAATGATACTTGCACAAAACAACAATCTTTTGGAAAATTTGATTATTGTTATTGACAATTTATAAAATAAATGACAAAAAAATAACGCTGACAGCGGTGGATTCGATTGCAACGCGGTGCGATGTGCCCGATAGCATTTATGTATATTTTGAGGGTTTTACTTGAAGTAAGGCACTATTCAATTGAGAACAATATTTTCTTACTTTGACATCTGAAAATGTGTTTATTAGATGTTTGAATTTATACGCTCGTACAAATAGATATCCGAGTTCCGCTTCCATTGAAAATTCCTTAGGCCGTTTTTCATCATAGAATGTTCCAAGTTCAACCTTGAACTATAAAAGAACGTAAGTTTCAGGTTAACACATAAACATATAAAAGAAACGTTTTAATGCCAGAAAAAC